CTGTGAATAAAGTGTTTTTCTATCACCCGTGTGTCCTTCTTTTTTTTTTTTTTTTTTTTTTTTTCCTTTTTTTGAGACAGGGTCTCCCTATAGCCCCAGCTGTCTGGAACTCACTATGTAGACCAGGCTGGTTGACTAAGACTGGTTGGCCAATGAGCACACTGGGAGGAGCTCTGGTGGGGTAGACTGAATTATTTCAGTCAGGTGCTCCACTGTATTGATGGTCTGCCTTTGCTTCCTCTCCAACAGACACCTGGCTTTAGGAGGGCATCGGGGTCATGTGGCTGCCCTCGATTGGGTGACAAAGAAGCTCATGTGTGAGATCAATGTCATGGAAGCAGTGCGGGACATCCAGTAAGTGTTTTCTCTGCTGGTGGTCCATGGGAGTGGGGCAGGGACAGCCCATCCCAACTGGATGACAGCTTGTCCTGTTCCCATGAGACCATGCCTCCCTTCCATTCAGGTTCCTCCACTCTGAGGCACTGTTTGCTGTTGCTCAGAACCGCTGGCTTTACATCTACGATAACCAGGGCATCGAGCTCCACTGTATCCGCCGCTGTGACCGTGTAACCCAGCTTGAATTTCTCCCTTTCCACTTTCTCCTGGCCACAGCTGTGAGTGGCTGTGGAGCACAGGGTTGGGAGGCTGTCCTTGGGAGGAGCATTCTACAACTAGAACTCAGTCATTTTCTCTCAGTCAGAGACGGGGTTTCTGACCTACCTGGATGTGTCCGTGGGAAAGATTGTGACAGCTCTGAATGCTCGGGCTGGCCGGCTCAGCGTCATGGCTCAGAACCCTTACAATGCTGTCATCCACCTTGGACACAGCAATGGTCAGTTCTTGGCTTTTCCTGTTTCGTTTTTCCTTTTCTTTTTTCTTTTGAGGCAGAGTCTGTTATTCTGGGCTCAAGCAGCCTTCCTGCCTCAGCTTCCCTAGTAGCAGAAACTACGGGTGGGTGCCAGCTCCCAGCTTGGCTGGTTCTCTGACCATCCTGCCCTGCTTTTTTTCTGTGCTTGTACGTCTCTGCCCTTCTATTACTTTACAAATTAATAAAGTTATTTTTGGTGGTGCTGGGGTTTGAACCTAGGACCTTGTGCATACAGGACAAGTGGTCCTCCATGAGCCACATCTGTAGCTTGCTGTCCTTTAACCTTTTCATCTTGAGTCCTATATTTCCCCCACTGAACCTCAGATTAAAAAAAAAAAGGAAGCGGGAAAAGTGAGGTAATGACTGAGCCCACTGCTCCTGTGTCCAGGCACTGTGTCCTTATGGAGTCCAGCCATGAAGGAGCCGCTGGCAAAGATTCTATGTCACCGAGGCGGGGTGCGGGCTGTGGCAGTGGATTCTACAGGCACGTAAGTCACTTGAGGATAAGGTGTTGGTCATGGCTGGACGGAAAGGGATTCTGCAGCCAGGCCATCTGGGCGTGTCCTCCAGTTGCCAGTGATCAATGTAAGTGTGGGCATGTGATGCAATTTGTGTGTGCCAATTTCCTGGCCTTGAGAGGATGTGCGTTTGGCTCGGGGTTAATAAGTTTTTTCCTGCAAGAGCCAGAGCCAAATAGTAAATACAGACTTTGCTCCTGCATGTCACATATAAGATAGGTAGCCAGAGTCTGCGGGAGCCATTGCCCAGGTGATGGTACTTTGTTGTCACTCAGGTGCCTTTTGTCATCCTAGACTTAGTGGATCCCTCACTTGACGCATCATCTCACTCCCAGAGTTCTTTCCTGTTCTTATTTACCCAGAATTTCTTTGACCCCCCTGAATTCAACTTTTTTTTTTTTTTTTTTGGTTTTTTTTTGAAAAGGTCTCCCTGTAGCCCCAGCTGGCCTGGAACTCACTATGTAGGTCAGGCTAGCCTGCCTGTGTCTGCCTCCTGAGTGCTGGGATTAAAGGCGTGTGCCACTACGCCTAGTGTCACCTGCTGTTTGATCTTTTCTTGTCCCCCTGGATCTGTCCCCTCTGCTGTGGCAGGCGTGAAGTAACCAGTTCCCAGCTCACTTCTTGGCAGGTCCATTTGCCACAAGCCACTTTCCTCTTACGCTGGTGCTCAGGAATTTTCTACATTAGGTACAGACTACATAACTTTCAACTTAAATTTTTATTTTTTAAAATTATTTTTATGTGTATGGGGTGTATTGTCTGCTTGTGCGTAAGTGCACCTGTGTCCTGCAGTGCCTGCAGAGGTCAGAAAAGGGTGTTGGATTCCTTGGAACTGCAGTTAACAACAGTTGCTAGCTGCGATGTGGGTGCTGGGAATCGAACCCAGGTCCTCTGCAAGAACACAGTGCTTTTAACCATTGAGCCATCTCTCCATCCCTTAATGTTTAAGTAGTAAACAAAGGTAGGCAAAGGGACAGCCAGGCACTACTGACTTCCAAAGCCTTCAGGATGCTCAGACCTCTTTAGCTGACACAATTGCCTGGGTGGACAGGGATCTGTTCTGTCCTTTCTCCTTATGTGCCAGCCTGGCTCTGGAGAGTGGGGAAGCTTATCTGAAGCTCCATGCCATGGTTGTGCTGGACCTGAGCTGCAGCTTGCTCTACCTGAGTTAGGACCCTGGGGCCCAGACCTTGATCACCTAGTCCACTGAAGCCCAGTGTAGTCCACACATTCCTGCTGAGCACCCCTGGACCTTCAGCCCCCCTGCTTACCCACTTCTCCTCAGGCCACAGAACTCTAGATGAAGCCGACCTCTTTCCCCAAGAGGCTTTGCGCAAGCTGGCTTCTGGAGACTGAACTGCTTCCTGCAGGTTTAGCAGTATGGGAATGTACTGCATGTGCTTGGCTGTGGGCTGTTTACCTCTGGGATCCTATACCTGGTTATGTGTCAGGGAGAGTAGCCTGCATATGTGGCTTTTTGGGTGTTTTTAACACATGATCTCATTGTGTAGGCCTGGAACTTGTGTAGGCCAGGCTGGCCTCCCAATTAAAGGTTGGCACTGCCACATCTAGCTAGGGGCCGCTTTGTCTAGCTGGGCCTCTGTTGGGTTCTGTCACAGGATGACCCTATGCTCATAGAACTTTTCAGTTCCTCCTGGATTCATAGCAAGGCTGAGAGAATCCATGACCCCTTGACACACACACATGACCCCAGCTTGACGCATCCCCCTGCAGCTTCAACACAGAGGCTCTGGCCTCTGGAAATAGGCAACACACAGTGTGACTCCCTTGTCCCCAGTCCTTCAGGCAGAGGAGAGGCAGGACAGGCTGTCTAGTGCTTTACTTCACTGCTACTCACGTGCGTTTTCTCAGGACACCATGGTTTTCATCTGTTATGTTGCTCAGGGAGCCGTGTTGGGCTAGTGAGCTGTGGGTCTTGTCTGACTTAAGGAAACCCTACAGACAGCCCTCTCCCTGTTCACAGTTATATTTCTCACCAACCCTGAAGAAAAACCTCTGCTTTAATTTCTGTCCACACCTGGTGTCAGTGAAGTTGGACCTGCTGTTACTGCTCAGGTCCCACCTTGTCAGGGAAGCCCTCCCTGACCTCTATATGTGGACCGAGGCACCCTGCTGTCCCCAAACTGAACACATTTAGGTATAGATGCATATGTTCTTCTAAGTACCTGTGAGTTGTGCAGGGCAAAGTGGTGCCATGAGGCACAAGGGCGTTCACCAACACCAGACAGGCCCGGGCTGGGACTTAGTTGCCCAGCAGCCTGAGGCCCTGGGTTCAACAAAACCCAAAAAGAAACTGCCATCCGGCCTTCGGCTTCTGTGCAAGGGAAGCAGGAGGCAGGGCTGTGAAATGTACCCTCGCGTCAAGTGTGACTATTATTATTACTAGGCTTTTCCTCCATATCTGGATTTGACACTTGGTCTTGACCACAGGACTTAGCAGACACCTCCTGAAGATGAATTTGTCCATTTCCCATGCAGGTACATGGCTACTTCTGGCCTGGACCATCAGCTGAAGATCTTTGACTTGCGAGGGACATTCCAGCCTCTGAGTGCTCGTACTCTGCCCCAGGGAGCAGGGCACCTGGCCTTTTCCCAGCGGGGACTGTTAGCTGCGGGAGTGGGTGATGTTGTCAACATATGGGCAGGGCAAGGCAAGGCCAGCCCACCCTCCCTGGAGCAGCCCTACCTCACTCACCGGCTGTCGGGCCATGTGCATGGACTCCAGTTCTGTCCCTTTGAAGATGTGCTGGGCGTGGGGCACAGTGGGGGCATCACCAGCATGCTGGTTCCTGGTGAGTGGGCCAGGGGTCAGGGCATGAGTGGATATTTGAGTGGGTCTTAGCCAGCCAGAGGCACGGCAGTGGCCAGTCCAGAGCTGCAGGCATGGATTGAGGTTCATGTTCCTTCCTCCCTCTAGGGGCTGCTGAGCCCAACTTTGATGGTCTGGAGAACAACCCGTACAGGAGCCGAAAGCAGCGCCAGGAGTGGGAGGTCAAGGCTCTGCTGGAGAAGGTGAGCTCTGCTGGAGCAGGTGAGCTCTGCTGGAGCAGGGTCCATGTGGATCCAGGCGGGGCGGAGGGTTTGGCAGTGTCCCTTCTGTGGCTCCTTGACCCATTCCTGTCCTGTGACACCCCCAGGTACCTGCAGAGCTCATTTGTCTGGACCCCCGAGCCCTGGCACAGGTAGATGTGGTCACTCTGGAGCAGCAGAAGAAGGAGCGGATAGAGAGACTGGTATGGAGCAGCCCTAGTGCCCAGACCCTTCACCCCTGTGCCCCACTTTCTGAAGTGGTTTGACAGATACTGCCAGGTGAGGCTGCTGGTTTCACTCCTTCCCTTCCTTAGGGCTACGACCCTGATGCCAAGGCTGCCTTCCAACCCAAACCAAAGCAGAAGGGCCGCAGCTCCACAGCAAGCCTGGTGAAGAGGAAGAAGAAGGTCATGGACCAGGAGCACAGGGTATGTGCACTGGGGGGAGGCTTGTGGGGGCAGGTTGCACCTCTTGCTCTTCCCTCAAGCCTTGTCGGTATCTGCTCATCTTGTCTGTGTCCCCAGGACAAAGTCCGGCAGAGCCTTGAGCAGAAGCAACAGCAACAGAAGCAAGAGAAGGCCAAGCCCACTGGAGTCCGGCCATCTGCACTGGATAGATTCATGCACTGAGCCAGAGATCCCCACCCTGACTTAGGTGGCCAGAGAGCTGGCTCAGCACACAGAGGTGCTTATCTCGAGACCAGAGGACCTGAGCTGGAGTGCCAGAAAACACATGGTGGAAGGAGATAATTCACTCCAAGTTGTCCTCCAACCTTCACATGTATACAGTGACATGACTGTGTACACATACACGATTACCCATGGAAGAAAGGGACTATTTCCTGCATACCTTAGTCCCAGTTGGGGACAGGCAGCCAGCCCCTTGGATGGGTTGGTATTAAACGGGAATTTTTGGAGAATGTGTCTGGATCATCCTATAGATCTGTTCCCTGCCCCCATGCTGCATAGGGGTATTCTAGACTCAGAGCTCACTGCCCTGCCTCTGTCTCCCACCCCATACCTATGTTGACCTGACTGTAGCCATACTGTGGGGACCTTTTCCCTGAGAGGCTGTCCTTCCTGTGTTCCCAAGGTGTCCTGCTGTCCGGCAGTATGGGACCCTCTGGGCAGTCTGGACGCCTGCCTGGTGAAGACACTGCACTTGAGGGCAAGAGACAAGTTTATTGAGGGGGCTCCTGCCTCTGCCCTGTCTTGCTGGTGAGAATGGTTTGACCCTATTTTGTTCCCCCTCTCGTTGGAGCTTGCAGGCCAGGCCCCAGTGTCTCTATCCTGCCTGGTGCAAGAGAGGACACAGCCTGTGCACTGGGCCTGAGGGAGACGTCCCAGGGTGTCCCCTGAACAGGCACCTCGATCCTCTCTTGGGGACCCAGGCCCTCAGCCACTGAGCCAAGCTATGAACCGGCACCGCAAGATGCCCAGGAATCCCTGGAGCCAGGAACAGAAGGGCGCAGTCCTCTCAGCCTTCAGCCCATTCACCAGCTTCCAGACTTGCTCCATCTTCAAGGGATCCACCCTGTGGGATGTCAGCAGGAATTTCCCATAGCAGCACCGGTCCAGGGGGTAGTGGGTGGCACCAGCCAACTTGACACAGTGTGTGGGGGCCAGGCCGCCTCGACGGGCACTAACTCCCACAAAGACGTCTTCTAGTGGCAGAGGGGGTGCCCGACTGGCCACCCTGAGGATGAGCTGCACAGCAGAGGCAGACAGCACGTACCCCGTGCCCGACGCATAGGGGGGGAAGGGACCCCAGGTCTCCGGCCACAATTCTTCTGACACCTGGTGCCGCCCCCCTGGGGTCCGGGAGGGGGTCACCCTCCAGTGCACTCGGCCCAGGTACAGGAGTGGCACGTCCTCGCCGGCGCCTGCGGCCCCTCGCTGGGGGACCCCGCCCTTCCGCCATCGCTCCGAGGGTCCCCCTCTCAGCACCAACTCCGACACCAGCTCTGGGACGTTGACGAACACGTCGTCGTCCGTCTTGAGCACGTAGCTGGCCCTGGGGCAGTACTTGTCCACCCAGCTGAGCCCGCTGAGGGTCTTGAGGGTGAGGTTGCGGTACGAGTCCTGGAAGGACGCCTGCAAGATGTCCCCGTGCGCCGCCGCCTCCGAGCCCAGGTCCGGGCGCTGCGCCGCGGGCTCGCCCAGCAGGAAGAGCGTGCGTACCCGGAGGCCGCGGGTCTCGCGGATGGCGCCCCACGACCCGCGGATGGCGGTCCTCTGGCTCAGATGCTCCGGGGCCGTGGACACCAGGATGAGCAGGAAGGGCGGCGGGCCGGGGCCCCCGCAGGCCCCGGGGTTGGGGATCAGGAGGCGGGGCAGCGCCAGCGGCGGCCCGGGCGAGGCGGGGGCGGGCAGCAGGGAAGCCAGCGAGAGGCTGAGCAGCTCCTCCCCAAGGCCAGAGGGCCCGAAGAGGGTCCAGACGACCACCAGCAGCAGCACGGCCAGCAGGACGCGCCGGAACAGGCTGAGGGGCATGGCGAGCCGCCGAGGCCTGCAGGAACCGGGCGGTTGGTGCGCGGGGCTGGGCCTAACCGGCTTGCGGCCGCGGCCGGGACGGGACGGCGAGGGGCCCCCGGCACATCGCGGGGTGCGGGCGGCAGGTGGAGCAGGTGCAGCCGCCGCCCGAGACAGCTAACCCGCCTAACCCACCTCACAGCGGAGCTCGGCTCCATGGCCGGCCACAGCCCCGCCCCCTTCCCATCATGCCACTGAGGGCGGAAGCAGAGCAGTGCGCCGCGTACATCCTCGCCCGGCCGGCCCTTCCGGAGTGTTTGTCCGCAATTCTGCCCTCCCCGTCCCAGCACTACCGAGTGCCTGGCCCCGGGGTGCCCTGCTAGGACCCCACTTCTGCCCTTCCCAGCACTGAGTGCCTGGCCCCGGGGTGCCCTGCTAGGATCGCATCCTGGGGAAAACAGGGTGGTCCACACCCGCGACTCACCGGAATGCCGTGCTGTAACCACCCCCCTCACAACAGCTCTTCAGCCCCAGACCAGGTTGCTTAGGGCCAGCCTACATTTCCCTTGAGGTTAATGTGGCCCCACCTCTCTCACCTGTAACAGTACCCGCCTAGATAGGTCCAACAGCCAGTGGAAAACAGAGCCACAAACAAGGAAGCAGCAGCCCCTGAAGGAGCTTATCGCATCTCAGTCCAGAGGTCCAAGTCCAGCAGGGTTCTAAGGGGCAGGCTGTAGGCCCTCAAGGTGGTTCTACACAGTTCTAAAGTCGGTCACAGCTGGGGGCAAGTTCCCACCCAGAGACCCCAAGGATATCCCAACCTGCGAGCAGGCCACCTGAGGTCAGTGAAACTCAATGAATGACGAGGGCCCCAAACCATCTCCATCATGAGACTAAGAGAAGCAAAGATTGACGCCATCGGTATATAAACTATTTATTAACAGAAAAAAAGCCTACAGACTCATTTCTTCTTGGACACACCCACGGTACGACCCCGGCGGCCAGTGGTCTTGGTGTGCTGACCTCGGACACGAAGGCTGCAGGAAGGAAAAGTTACAGGTTATGTATCTGGCTTAAGGAAGGGCTGCCTGGAGGGCAGGGAGCACTGGGAGACTAGACCAGGTGGGCATCCCCAACTCACCCCCAGAAGTGGCGCAGTCCCCGGTGCGCTCTGATCTTTTTCAGTCGCTCCAGGTCCTCACGGAGCTTGTTGTCTAGACCATTGGCCAGAACCTGGATTTGGGGGTGGGCCATGCCTGGTTCACTCCCTGGTCACTTGTGCCCTTCCTGCCCAAAAACCCTCCCACCTCAGCCCCACACCTGGCTGTATTTTCCATCCTTCACATCCTTCTGTCTGTTCAAGAACCAGTCTGGGATCTTGTACTGTCGAGGATTCTGCATGATGGTGATCACACGTTCCACCTGGCAGGCAGGACAAGGTCAGAGCTAGATGGCCATTTCCAGGGCAGGTCCACCTGCAGACCCCTTCCTGCCCTCACCTCATCCTCGGTGAGCTCTCCAGCCCTCTTGGTGAGGTCAATGTCTGCTTTCCTCAGCACCACATGAGCATATCTTCGCCCCACACCCTGAGGTAAGAAAGTTTTGAAATTAGGTCTGAACCAACCTTTTCCTCCCCTACTCCACAAGCTCCCAAGGACCGGCTGTGGTGCACTGCCTCCTATCCTAGCACTCGGGAGGATGAGGCAGGACTGCAGACTTTGAAGCCACTTCAGCGTCAAACCTTGCTCAATCCACTCAACCCCACGGAAGGCAGACCGTACAAGTGACCCCAGTACCTTGCAATTTTCCAGTCCGCTCCTCCCACACCATTTCCAGATGTAGCAGAAACCCAAAAGCCCCTGAAGCCCAGTGCGCAAGTTTTTAAATTTTGAGGTTTTAAAGCTCTAAAGTTTTCAATTATTTTGTCATGCAATGCCCTCAGAGGCCAGCAGAGGGTGTCAGAGCCCCTGGAACGGAAGCTATGGATGGTTGCTTGCCATGTGGACACTGGAAACAGCCTGGGTCCTCTACCAGAGCAGCCTTAACCACCTCTTCAGCTTCTGCATGGCAATGTAGCAAAACCAGGGTCTTTCTGGTTGATCAAGGACGGTAGACCTTCCACTCCCAGCATGGTGTGCATAGAATTCTAAGTTGCCAGGACTTGTACTGGTCACAATTCTTTTCCAAGTCAACAGTGGTGCTAGTGCCCAGTATACCCAGGGAGCCCAGCCCCCTTAAGTGAAACTGACCACAGTGCTCATCAGCAATGCCACCTGGGGGCCCCCTGAATCCACAAACCAATGATATGATAGTTGAGAATGATGAACTGAGTTCAACTGTGTCTCCTTGCCCCCATTTGTTATCTGCCCAGACTCCCAGAATGTGACTTCATGCCCCTTTACAGCAATTAAACATACCAATCAGGGTAGACCCAAAATCCTCAGAAGACAGGAGGGTAGGGCTTTTTTGTGACAGTTTGACCTTCAGAATTGAGTAAACAAATTTGTCAGTTCTAAGTTTGTAGTAACTTGTACCCTACAAACAAAAAATGGCACCTCTTAAAAAATGACTGAAGATCAAATTTGCCAGCCTGACTCAGATTTACTATGGGAAAAGTCATGTCTGAGATTTACCTCAAAATGAGTCCAGGTAGATTTTGAAAGGCTAGAGATGGGACAGTAGTCAAGAGCACTGGGGTTCAATTCCCAGCATCCACATGATGGCCAAAAGTGTCTCTAACTCCAGTTCCAGGGATCAGATGCCCTCTTCTGGCCTTCCTAGGTATTAGATGCACCTGGCACACTTGCCGGCAAAATACATAAGATTGAATATTGACAGGGGCTAAATAGGTTCCCCAGGCTAGCCTTAAACTCATGATCCTCCCAGCTTACTTTCTATTTTGTTTGGGGCAGGTCTCACTACACACCCCTGGCTGGCTGTGAATCCACATTCGCATGCCTCTCAAATGCTAGAACTAAAGGCCTACACTACCATGCCCAGCTCTTTCTGATCTAAGGGCCTGGCCATTTCAACAATTTCAAGCAGTATTCAGAGCTTGATAGAAGCACTGGAACTTTAACAGGACAAGAGCGCTTGCCCAACCCTTTCCAAATAACCCACAAGTACCACCTTAATTGAGGAAGAACAGCAGCCAGCTCAAACAGAGAAAATGAAGGCATTCTGCAGTCAACTTCACAGGATCTGTGCTGCCTCTCCTTATGGACCTTCCTTTGTCCTTGGGGACCTCCTTCTGTTTTTTACCCTTTCTTTGCTATTGCTTAGCACTGCACTTTAACCACTTCTGGAAGAATTTACCACACACCACCTCTTTCCCACTTAATCTCCTTCGAATTACCCTCCTGTAAGTTAACTATAGTTATCTCTCAGAGCGAGGAATTGCTGGGTTCCGAAGAGGCAGAACAAATACAGCACAAGCATCCTCTGAACCACAAACAGCTAGCCTGGCATTCCCTAGGTAGAGGAGGCTAGCCTTGATCTCAGATCTGTCTCCCAAATGCCGGGATTAAAGGCATTGCACCACCATGCCCAGCCTCACAACTTCCGCAAAGGGCAATTTATTTACTTTCCTAGAATTTCACATCTAGCAGAAGGAAGCTATCCTCAGGTCATTTAAGAACACAATAGAACAGAAAGAAGAGAATTAAAAGAAAACAACAAAATACGGTAACTCACATTTGATGAAAACCAACCCAACTCTTATTTGACTTCCCTTGAACTACACAAGCTCGGTTTATTTTATAAAACTTATTTACTAGCTTCCTTTAAATTCCTCAGAATCATCGCATAAGCTGGGAAGGGGCACAGATTTCGTCCTGGCCTCCACAGAGCGCGCACATTTTGATAAATGTTAATAAAATAAGGAAGACCAGGAATTCATCAGCTCTGCAGAGAGAATTATTCAAGCTTCCATTTGAATTCTTGCCACAAGCCAAACACGTGTCGGCTTCCACTTCAACGGGAATACACACTGCCTGTATTTTATATGTATCTTCTGCACACCACCCCCCCACTAAACATTTGGGCCATTGCTGTCGATGTCTACCCACCTTTGTTGTCCCTAAATAGTTCAATTTTCAGGGCACATACATTTCACAGAAGGGTTGCTGCTCCGAGGATCAAGGAAATCCTCACTTACAGATGGTCCAGGAAGACCTTAGCAAGGCAGGGTCGGCAACCACTCCCCAGCCCCCTACGGTTCTGGCCTAGCTTTAAGACTACCCTGTGACTTTTAGGACCTACTTTCCATGGTAAAATCTGTTAGGAGACTCAGTCACTAGCCTTAGTCATCTACCTATTTCTTTTTCTCTGTCTTTTCCTAAGCCAGCAGCTAAGGTGATCCGGACAGGACCAGTTTCCTCCATCTCGCCTCTTTCACAACACAGGCCTGCATATATTTACCTTAATGGCAGTGATGGCAAAGGCTATTTTCCGCCGCCCATCGATGTTGGTGTTGAGTACTCGCAAAATGTGCTGGAACTTCTCAGGGATCACTAGAGACTGAAAGAGTAGAGGGGGGACCAGTCAGACACCAGTCACTTCTACCAACCCAAACGGCCAGTACGACGGAGGAGCAAAGAACCCCTCCTTCCCCAAGTTCTCAAGCCGCAACTCCTCCGTCCTCAGTAGCGACAGCAAAGGCTCAAGCGCGGGAAAATGCAACCTCCGACATAACGGTGGACACGGGCTGGGGCCCAAAGAGCACTGGGCAGGGAAGGCAGGCGCCCCCCGCCCCGCCCCCAGCCAAGCTTCTGGCAACTTTGGCGTCCGGGGAGTGACCCCTCCTCGGGCCCGGCTCCCCGGAACCCCACGTCCTGGGCTGTCCCCTCTCGGGGGCGCGAGCCATCACTGCACACAAAGCTGCAGATCCCCAGCACAGGACCTCCGCAGAGTCCTGACGGCACACCCTCCCCGCCCCGGCCCTGATGTCGCCGGATCCCAGGACCTAGTCCACTCTTACCATGGCGGCGGCACAAGCGGCAGCGTGTAGGCCTCCTGTGGAAGAGAGAGCGGAAGTGACGTCCCGTCCTTATATAGCTTCTTGGAGGAAGAGGCGGGGCTAACGTAGAGGGGCGCTTCCGAAAACTGCCCCCCTCCCAGTTGAATTTTGAGATTTTTTTTTCAGGATTGGGTGCCAAGACTTCCGGTACAGCCGTCTTTGCAGTCCCTATGGTTCCTACATAGGTGGGCAGCGAAGGTACCGGAGCGAGCTGGTGTTTGCGACTTCCACCGTCTCCCGGGCCCTGGGGCGGAGAAGTCAAAGTCTTAAACGGAAGGCTGGAGCCAGACAGTTGAACTCAGATATCTGGGAACGTTTTTGCCCCGTGAAAGACCTCCTGGGACTTGTCTTACTTCGGGAAACGGAGATCTCGAGACTGACAGCTGCCGGAAGTGAGGCTGTGGGGATGGCCGCCGCGACGACCATGGCGGCAGCGGCCCGGGAGCTGGTGTTGCGGGCTGGAGCCTCGGATATGGAGGAGGAGGAGGGCCCGCTGGTGAGAGCGCCGGGCTGTTTGACCCCGGTGGTGTCGTCAGGTCGTCCCTTGCCTCGGAACAGAGTGGGCTGGGTTCAGGCCCCGAGTCGGAGTCTGCCTGCTACAGGGATGGTCCTGGCTTGGCTCTCCATAACCTTGCTTAGACAGGACGAGCCTTAGTACCGACCAGAGTGACTGAAACTCAAGTTCCGGGGGCACTATTTCAGTTTCCTATTCACATTCATCCATCTATATTTCTTTCTTTCTTTTTCTTTCTTCACAGCTTCCTTCCTTCCCTCCTTCCCTCCTTCCCTCCCTCCCTCCCTCCCTTCCTTCCTTCCTTCCTTCCTTCCTTCCTTCCTTCCTTCCTTCCTTCTCTTTCAGAAAAGAGAATATAGCGTGAAGGGCTAAGAACCTGGAGACTGGAGCCCGTTGCCTGGGTTCTAATTCCCCCTCTGCCACTTGAAAGCTGTGGACCCTTCCCCCATCCCTAAAGTGGAGAAAATATTAGGACCTACCACATAGGTCGTCGTTAGGATTAGATGGATGAGTTTGTGTAAGGTGTCACCTGGCACAACACTGTCAGCCGACAATTCCAGAAGGCTTGGGGCTCCCCAAGGGTGCGGTAATAGAGGAGTCTGGGGGTCCTAAATTCAAAGGCACATTCTTCTTCCTAATGAGAGATGTGCATCCTCTTCATTACGTGACTTTGTCCTATTCCTTACCCATTAGCCCAAGGAAGATTGAGTAGGTTGTGAGAATCAGTGTGAGAATCAGAATCTTTTGACTCAATGCATATGGCTCCCCAGCAAACGCGCCTTTCCCTTCACTTGGAGGACTTGGGTTATCCAGTTACATTTTGTCCCATGTGTCGTCTGTAGTCGTCATGTGCCCCCCACCCCGTCTTTTCGTGTATTCCACATTCATCAACCTGTCCTTCTCTAGGGTCCAGGAGTCCAAGAGCCCCTACAACTTGGGGAGTTGGATATCACTTGTGATGAATTCATCCTGGATGAAGTGGATGGTAAGTGATGGCATGGGTTGGGGGCAGAGCACAGTAGCCCCCCCCTTATCCTTTAGGAATGTGTTACAAGCACCCCAGTAGATGGCCCCCAGTATCTGCATATTTTTTAAAATTTTATGCATAAAGTTTAACTTATGAATTGAGGTTTAGCTTATAAGCTAGGCACAGTAAGAGCTGAGGAACAAGCCTGGGGTGGTGGCACACACCTTTAATCCAGCACTCAGGAGGCAGAGGCAGGTGGATCTCTGTGAGTTCAAGGCCAGCCTGGTCTACATAACGAGTTCCAGGTCAGGCCAGCTGGGACTACAGGGAGACCCTGTCTCAAAACACCAAAACAAAAAAAAAAAGAAAGAAAAGAAAAAAAATGAGGAACAATAAAAACAGTGTGGAATAATTGTTATAACACACCATCATTGGCAACATAACTGCATTTGCACTACTTTTTGGCACTCTGATTGACTAAAACTAAGGCTTCATTGGGCATAAGCACTTCCATATGCAGTCAGTCAGTTTGATAACTAAGACAGCAACTGAGTGACTAACAGGCTAGTATCACATGCAACATGGATTCACCAGGCAAAGGTGATTACTAGCCTAGGTAGGGTGAGAGTTTTACATGGGTCAGAGTGGCACACAATTTAAAGCTTACAAGTTATTTCTGGAAATTCCCATTTGATATTTTTGGTTCTTGGGTGATTGTAATGGAAACAGTAGAATATAAAACTGTGTCTAAAGGGAATGTTCCTGTAAGCTGAGAGGGATGGGAGCTAGAAGGACTAAAGTGGGATTAGTATGCACATGCTCAGTGTGGGCAGAGGGAGCTGAGCGGCTGGATCCTCATGGTAGACTTCTGTTTCCAGTTCACATCCAGGCGAATCTGGAGGATGAGTTAGTGAAGGAAGCTCTCAAAACGGTGAGGGTCTCAATTGTGCCTCCCCTCCCCACCTTCTCTCCTCTGGGCCTTTTCCTCTGCCAAAAGTGGGGGGAGATGTCTGGCTCTTGTGATATTGGTGTCTTACTCTCTAGCCCTTCACCGATTCTGTTCTGGTGTCCCTTCACTGTGACTTCTTCCTCACCTCTTCCCTTTGTGTCTGCCAGGGTGTGGATCTCCGACACTATTCAAAGCAAGTGGAGCTGGAGCTACAGCAGATTGAGCAGAAATCCATCCGGGATTGTATCCTCCAGCAGAGGGAAAAGATGGTGTTAGTGACACAGGGTTTTGTGAGGCGTGATGCAGACAGCCATTTTCTCCCTGAGGTTTACCTCACTAGGGGAGAATTTAGAGAGGTACTACAGGTCTGAAGATCTTCATGTTCCCTGTGGAACCCTTGACTTTTGTGGACCAGACATCCAAGAGAGTGAGAACATAGCATCTCTGCACAACCAGATCACAGCCTGCGATGCTGTCCTGGAGGTTGGTGACTGTCGCCTGTGGCCAGTGATCACCCTGAACCAGCTCATGCCTTCTGGTGCCATTCTTAGGTCATTTGCTTCTGGTGGGGACAAGTGAAGGTCACTTCAGGATGCCCTCAACAGGCCCTTTCTCATTTGTGTGTATGCATGTACGTGTGCATAGTACATGACTATGTTGGTTTCCTTGGAGCTGGAGTTACAGGCAGTTGTGAGCCACCCAGTGTGGGTGCTGGGAACTGACTTCAGGACTTCTCGAAGCAAGCACACCCTCGTAACTGCTGAGCCATCTCTCTCAAGCTTCATCAGGAGTCCTTTTTTTGTTATTGTCATTTTGTTTTTTTGGTCTTTTTGACACCAGGTCTCTTCCTTATAGCCTCAGCTGGCCTGGAACTCTCTGTGGAGACCAGGCTGGCCTTGATATCACAGAGATCCACCTGCCTCTGCCTCCCAAGTACCAGGACTAAAGGCTTGGGCCACCACACTTCAAAGGAGTCCTTTTTTGTTTTAACTGCTGTAATTAATGTTATTTCCATGTAACCTTTGTGGGGCCTTACTATCTCCCACCCTTCAGGATTGCTGGGTACTAGGCTACTCACCCGGCTACTTAGTTCCCCACTTGTCCTCTAGTAACCCCACGACACACCCACAACATCTTCTGCCCTTCCCCCAGCGCATGGAGCAGATGCTGGGAGCTTTTCAGAGTGACCTCAGCTCCATCAGCTCTGAGATCCGGACCCTGCAGGAACAGTCAGGAGCCATGAACATTCGACTTCGTAATCGACAAGCAGTTCGGGGGAAACTTGGGGAGCTTGTAGATGGGCTGGTTGTGCCCTCTGCTCTGGTCACGTGAGTCACTGGTTTAAAAGGTCATAATGTCCATAGCAGGAGGTGGGGCTAGGTGACCTACGGTATTTATGATGTATTTCTCCAGGCTTAGATTGTCAAGTACCTTCTAGAAGCCTGGTGTGGTGGCTTGTGCCTATAATCCCAGTGCTTGAGAGGTTGGGGCAGGAACATTGCTACAAGTTCAAGGCCAGCCTGGGATGTAGAGTAAGACCTTGTCTTTTCAAAAAAGAAAAAGGGGCTGGAGAGATGGCTCAGCAGTCAAGAGCACTGGCTGCTCTTCCAGAGGACCTGAGGGTTCAGTTCCCAGCACCCACATAGTGGCTAACAACTGACTGTAACTCCAGTTCCAGGGAGTCCAACACCCTCTTCTGGCCTCCATGGGCATTGCATGCATGTGGAACACTTACATGAAGGCAAAATGCTCACACATTTAAAAGTAATACATTCTAGGAGTTAGTAGGTGGGCTAATAGCTTCTAGTACTGCTTTAGCCATCACAGTGAGGATGGAGGTTAGGAGTAACCCAAGGTCAGGTGTGTAGTGAGGGACCCACAGTTTAGGAACTGAAAACTTTGTATATGTGTCCTGATTGCACAAGACCTTGCAAGAATGTAGAGATGACAGACGCTAGCTAAGGGGTGTGGTTTGGGTCTAGTGTAGAGCCAGTGAGTTTCCTTCTGTGCTCCTCAGGGCAATTCTAGAAGTTCCCCTCTGTGCTCCCCTCTGTACCCCTCTGTGCTCCTCAGGGCAATTCTAGAAGCTCCAGTGACAGAGCCCAGGTTCCTGGAGCAGCTGCAGGAGCTGGACGCCAAGGCAGCTGCAGTCAGAGAGCAGGAGGCACGAGGCACAGCTGCCTGTGCAGACGTCAGAGGCGTGCTTGACCGGCTCCGGATCAAGGTGGGGGATGGGGCTGGACCCCCAGGGACTACTAGAACTGGACTCCCCAAGAAGCCCCACCTCTTCCCAGTGCAGCTTATCCTTACCCCTTTGGTTTTCCTGAACATCTTAGGACATACTAAGGAAGGGGCTGGGGACAGGGCTCAGCTGGTAGAGTGCTCTCCTAGCGTGCATGAAGCTCTGGGTTGTAGCCTAGCACTGCATAAGCTGGGCATTGTGGCACGTCTGGTGCAGCACTCAGGAACTGTAGGCAGAGGATTAGAAGTTCAAGGTCATCTTCAGCTACATAGAATTTGGGACCAGCCTGGGATACATGAGACCCTGTATTTAAAAAAAAAAATACAAACCCAAGACAAAAAAACTGAGGTAGTCTCTACCCTTCCTCGACCATGGCATTTGTCATGGCCCCCGTTCCTTCCACACAGTAAGAGGGCTGCATCTTCACAGCCTGTGTTTGGTCGCCCACATCTAGGCAGTGACGAAGATCCGAGAGTTCATCCTCCAGAAGATCTATTCCTTCAGAAAGCCAATGACCAACTATCAGATCCCGCAGACGGCCCTGCTGAAGTACAGGTTGGCATGCCCGGGCAGGTACAGTGTGGCTTCTGAGCAGTCCAGGGTGGGCGTCCAGGGGTCTGACTTGCCCTGCCCTGCCTTCCAGGTTCTTCTATCAGTTCCTGCTGGGCAATGAACGAGCAACAGCAAAGGAGATCCGGGACGAGTACGTGGAGACGCTGAGCAAGATCTACCTGTCCTACTACCGCTCGTACCTGGGGCGGCTTATGAAAGTGCAGGTGAGGCAAGGGAGGGCCGTGTTCCAGGGCGTGTGGGCTCGGAGGAGGGGACAGCCCTGGGTGAGGATGGCCCGGCCCCCTGCCCTGCTGTGGGAAGAGATGGTTCATCTCTCTTGTTTTCTCTAGTATGAGGAAGTCGCCGAGAAGGACGATCTGATGGGTGTGGAAGACACAGCAAAGAAAGATATCCTGCAGCTGGGGCCTCTCCAGGCTTGGGGCGGATGGGATGAAACCTTTGGGGATGTGAAAGCTGCAGCTTCCCCTCCCTAGAAGGCACACATCATTCGGACAGTAGTGCACATATTGGTGTCAGAGGGCACACAGACCCCTTGAAGCCCAGACTCATGTCAGGTGAAACAAGGCTTTGATTCTGGAAAGAGGGGTGCCTGGGCTGTGAATGACTTCTTGGGGTCCCCAGAGATCTTGGGTCCTCAGCGTGGTTTGTCTCACTGTTTTCCCTGACTGAGACTATTCACGATTCTTCTCCAAGCCATCCCTCCGCAGCAGGAACACCATCTTTACCCTGGGCACCCGGGGTGCCGTCATCTCCCCCACTGAGCTTGAGGCCCCCATCCTGGTCCCCCACACTGCCCAGCGGGGAGAGCAGAGGGTATGAGGGGGCCAAAGGTTCAGCCATGAAAGGGACGCAGTGTGGCGTGGGGAGGCCAAACCTCAGGCAGAGCTTGGCCTTAGATGTGGGTGGGCTTTTTGGAGCCCCTGGCCTGACGTGGTGTTAGGGTTGGGAGCTGTGGACCTGTGGGTGTGCCGAGGGAGACCAGTTGGGAAGCGAATGTCCTGTTTCCAGCTGCAGAGGTGGATGTAGGGTAGTTATAGCTGGTGGAGAGGGCAGTTCTTGTGTCCTGTGTCCCCCACCTCACCACCCATTTAGGGTGCTCTTCCCTGCCTGGAGGTTGGGTGGGGAGAGTCCTGAGTTTCCAGCCACATCCAGGGGGAGTTGGTATTGGATTTCATCTGTCTCTTGTCCCTCCTAGTATCCGTTTGAAGCTCTCTTCCGCAGCCAGCACTACGCCCTCCTAGACAATTCCTGCCGTGAATATCTTTTCATCTGTGAATTTTTTGTTGTGTCCGGCCCAGCTGCGCATGACCTATTCCATGCTGTCATGGGCCGCACCCTCACCATGACCCTGGTAAGCCTCCCATTTCTGTGCACTTGGCCCTCTTGTCTTCAGGGCTCATCTGCACCCAATGGGTCAAAACTAGAGCATTGAAAGCAGGACTCTCTCATCCTAAAGTGCTTGGCCTTTTACTCACAATGTGCTGACTCCCCAAGAAACCCTGACACTTGGGGTCCCTGGGACCACCCCTGATGTGGATGCCCAAGCAGGCGGCAGTACCTGGAAGCCAAGAGTCCTCTAAATCTTAGCACTTTAACTCCAGTTGCAAGTTCAGCCTTGTGCTCTGCTGTCAATGGACTTGTAATAGTAGGAGTTAGTGAGCAAGGGAAGAGCTCCTCAGGCCTGTGGGCAGGGAAGAAGGGGACATCTCCCTGCCCAGTGCCGTGTCTCCAGAGACCTGTGCATTTATTTGCTCGGAGCCACTTGAACAGCAGACTAACAAGTACTCTCTTCCAATCCTCTGCCTGTTCCGGCACACAGAAGCACTTGGAGTCCTATCTGGCCGACTGCTACGATGCCATTGCTGTTTTTCTCTGTATCCACATTGTTCTCCGATTCCGAAACATTGCAGCAAAGAGGGACGTTCCTGCCCTGGACAGGTCACTGAGTCCTAATCCCGCAGGCTTTGATCTCTGTCAGACACAGACACTTTCATCGGGACCTTGGGCTCCTTGACCTCATACTCTTCACCTTCATTCCCATCTGTCCGCTCCAGAGGTAGCATTTATCTTTCTGATTCTGAGTATGCATGCATGCAGGCACGTGCATACACATGCACCCATGATGCAGTCTCATGCTGCCCACCTGAAGAATGCCCCACTCCCCCTCACCTGCCAGCCGAAGTGACTTTGGTTACGCCCACAGGTACTGGGAGCAGGTGCTTGCCTTGCTGTGGCCTCGGTTTGAGCTGATCCTGGAGATGAACGTCCAGAGTGTCCGAAGCACTGACCCCCAGCGCCTCGGGGGGCTGGACACTCGGCCCCACTATGTGAGGGAGGGCAAGGGTAACAAAGGGGCCAGAGGGCTGGGCTCCAAGCTTTACTGTGGGGCCACTAGGGGCAGACTGGGCATGGAGCTATGCTCCTGGTGCATTGGGCCCTGCTCGGGGAGGGGCGGGAGGCTGGAGTTGTGGATAGTGGACAGAGGATGCTGGGAGGTTTTGTCTGCTAGGCAGGGGCCAGTGATTCTCCTCCCCACCTTGCTCCTAGATCACACGCCGGTACGCCGAGTTCTCCTCTGCGCTTGTCAGCATCAACCAGACCATTCCCAATGAGCGTACCATGCAGCTGCTGGGACAACTACAGGTGAGGCTGGCGGGACAGACCTCGGCACATGGAGGGATCCTGCGACCTTGCTTCATCATCTCCTGTGGGCGTTTTCAGGTGGAGGTGGAGAATTTTGTCCTCCGAGTGGCTGCTGAATTCTCCTCCAGGAAGGAGCAGCTTGTGTTTCTGATCAACAACTATGACATGATGCTGGGTGTGCTGATGGTAACTATGACGACTATGACATGATGCTGGGTGTGCTGATGGTAGCACGTCCTCCTCCCCTGGGGATCCCCACTGCTCCTTAGCTCTCTGAGGACAGGGATGATGCATCTTGTTGAGTGTTTCATCCCTGGACTCTGGCAGTGTGGGCATTGTAGGGTGCAGGGGACATGCTGGCATGAAGGCAGCTCTCCCAATGCCCCACCTACCTTGTCTTCCTTAGGAGAGGGCTGCAGATGACAGCAAAGAGGTGGAGAGTTTCCAGCAGCTGCTCAATGCTCGGACACAGGTAGGGCCTGGGGCCTGGGGTGAGGCAGGGGAATTGTATGCGTTGTATTTAGTTGGGGTGTGTTGGGGAGGTGACCTCAACTGTGCAGAATCCATGTTACACCTCTGGGCTTATGACTTGCCACCCTATTATTGGTCTATTTTGTTTAATTTTTTTAATGATATGAATAACTTAAAAGCAAAATAAAAATATAGCTTTGTGTATGCTTTTCTGGGGGAGTTATTCTTATTAATTTGGGGGGGGGGGAATGTGTGTATATCAGCACAAACATGAAGGCCAGAAGACAACTTTGTGAAGTCAGGTCTCTCCTTCCACCTTTCCGTGGGTTCCAAGGATTGACCTCAGATTGCCAGGCTGGCACAGCTGAGCCATCGTACTGGTTCTGTTTGTTTTTGTTTTGATTTGTTTTTATGTGTATGCATGTGAGTGTTAGTGCATGCACATGTGTGTGGGTGCCCAAGGAGGCCCACAGAGGGTATTGGATTCCTTGGAGCTGGAGTTCGAAGCAGTTGTGAGTCACTTGATGTGGGTGCTGTGAGCCAGACTCCAGTCCTCTGCAAGAGCAGCAAGCACTCTTAACTGCTGAGCCATCTCCAGCTCCACAGTATTTTTCTTGAAGAAGACCTCTTTAAGTTAGTGTTTGTTAGTAGTAAACCTTGTTTTTGTTCTTACATAAATGTCCATACTCATGGTTGTTAGGAAAATGTTTTTCTGGCGTATTGTCAGAGTCTACGTTAAGGATCATATTCTCTCAGCCCTTGAAAGATGATTTGACTCTCCCGTCTTCTGGTTTAAATTGTTGCTCATCCTCAGCTACATATATTAAAGTTCAGGGCCAGCCTGGATAATGTGAGACCATCTTCAAAAAAAAAAAAAAAATCCCAAAACAAAGTAATAATAAAAATAAAATAAAACATGTCTGCATTGAGTGTAGTAGTGCATGCCTATAAGTCCCCAGTGCTCTTGCTCTCAAAGATGAGGCAGGATTGCTACAAATTCAAGGCCAGCCTGGGCTACATAAGAGACTTTGTCTCCAAAGAGAGAGAGGTGTTGAGGGGGAAATTGAATCATGGTGTTGTTTGTTATACAGAGTGATGTGTGTGTTCTGACTTCATTTCACACTGTGGCTAAAGTGTGCTGGTGCCTGGTGTGTTTCCCAGAAGCGCGTCCTTGGACGGGAAGATGAGAAGGTTGAGGGAAGTGGCATGTACTTCCACCAGGGAGAACGTAGCGTCTCTGTGTGACGTCAGTGTATCGGTGACCACTGTCTAGACCCAGTGATTAGATTGCTGTGTCTCTAGCTGACCAGACCTTCCTCCTCATCTGGTGACGGGTCCTGAGCCATTTCTTCTGGTCCCAGGTCCAGCTATGTGTGTCGTTCTTCAGTTAAACTTGATTTACATATTTAGTGTGTTGATTGTTTCATTTCTAGAACTTCTGTTTCCAAGTGTGCCCACTGCTGATAGCCTTGTTATTTGCTCATCTCTGGGTCTGTACCCTAACTTAACCTTTCTTACAGTACTGTGCTTGATGGTCCCTGGACGTCCTTGGTGGGCTGAGCGCATTGCTTTCCTGATTGCTGGCCCTCCTGGGAATGAGCATCCTTAGGTGTCTGGTGACTGTGAGTCACTGCTCAGCCTTAATCAGGTGTGGCCGTTGTGTGGCTCTGTGTTAGACCTGATGATATTTTCCTCCAGAGAGGATTTCCTTGAGCTTCTGCTGCACCTGAGGGTATCCACCTGGGTCTGCCATGGTGCCTCTGTGAGGCTCTCGCCAGACACAGGGCTCAGTTTCTCCATCCAAGGCTGGCATCAGGCTTAATTTCCAGATAACTGAGCATTTTGTATATATGTATACATAAACATACATGCAAACATATAAATGTATGTATAAATATATAAATATCATGGTCCTTTGCCTTCTAAGGGCTAGCTGTTCCAGCCCAAGCCTTGGGCTCCAGCCCTTTCTCTTTATCTGTCTTTTCTTATCTTCTTTCCTTTCTTCTTGTGGACCATCTGAAAGAGTCAGGCTTTTACTGAATCTGGCTGTTCTGTGGGATTATCTATACCCAGCTAGCCAAGATGCCAGAATTGGGAAAATCCTTTTGTCCCAGGACTCCTGCCCTATGTGGTGCTTACTTGTCTCTCTAGGAGTTCATTGAAGAGTTGCTGTCCCCGCCCTTCGGGGGTCTGGTGGCATTTGTGAAGGAGGCCGAGGCTTTGATTGAGCGTGGACAGGCTGAGCGCCTTCGAGGGGAAGAAGGTATGAAGATGTGGTCATGGTAGGGCTACGGGGACGTACGTGAAATAGAGCAGTGATAGCATGCAGGGGGTGGGGGTCATCAGGGAAGACTTGCTGGAGGAGTGCCAGGGAAAGGGAAATGGGCCTGGTAGTGAGGCGGCTGTGCCCTGCACAAGGCTTGCTGGGATGAAGTTTGCCCAGCCGGGTTCCTCTTCCTCTCTGACACTTTCTTCCTGTCATCAGCCCGGGTAACTCAGCTGATCCGTGGCTTTGGTAGTTCCTGGAAATCCTCGGTGGAGTCTCTGAGTCAGGATGTAATGCGGAGCTTCACTAACTTCAGAAACGGAACCAGCATCATCCAGGTAACCTGCCCCTCCTAGCCCCTTGCCCATCTCCCATCCTGACTGTTTTCCTGCTCTTCCCTGACTTGGCATCACATAAATACCTTGGTGGGTGACCGCCCGCTGCACCTAAAGTTCTGGCAGAGCTCCAACCTGATGCCTCTCACCGCCAGTCTGATCCCTCCCCGACTTTCCCCTCTGTCTAGGGAGCACTGACCCAGCTGATCCAGCTCTATCATCGCTTCCACCGGGTGCTGTCCCAGCCACAGCTCCGAGCCCTCCCGGCCAGGGCTGAGCTCATCAACATTCACCACCTCATGGTGGAGCTCAAGAAGCACAAGCCCAACTTCTAACGTGCTGGAGTTCGTCCTGAGATCTGCCAGCCTTCCCTGTGGACTCCGCACCCCGTCTCAGACCTCTTATCTCCTGGGGTCCCCCTTTCTGCTTCCTGTTGTCTTCCGGGTCTTTGTTACACCTTGCCCAGCTCTGTTGCCAGGACTCTGCCTCAACAGACTGAGCCTTCTGAGCCTCTGTGCCCACAACCACCTCTCCCGGGGCTTCCAAAGCAACCTCTGTTATCCCAGTTCTGCTACCTCCTGCTGTTGGTACACACCCAGAGGAAGCCTTCCCTGTCTCAGCCTCTGGCTCAAGTCACATCACCATGCCCTGCAGCATGAACCCTCAGTTCTTGGTGGCAGTGCAGGCTGCATCCAAAAATTCAAAGTAATTCTTTTCTGTAGCTTTCTGATCTCAGCTCTCAACAACTTGAACACTAACCCTCACCGTCTGGCTGGAGCACGACTCCAAGGTCAGTCTGTAGGCAATAGTAAGTATTTAAAATGATATGACAGCCTCCATCATTTCCTGTCCCTTTCTTCCTGGGCCTTCGTGTTTCTTCAGCATCTTCCCTCAGACTACTTGAGTTTACACCCTGACGGTCATCTAGAAAGAGGGTTACAAATGGAAACCTCCAGTCTGTTGGTGCTTCAGACCCAAGGTGGGTGGTTGCTTAGAGGAGGGGACTTTTTTGTAATTCTGTAAGGTGGCCTATGGTTAAAAGGGCAGATGCCACCAGGCCCGGGAGTGTGGGCAGCTCTGGGTACTGCCCCGCGAGACTGTAGGAAAAGCCCAGGCAGACTGCCATTGTCTCTCTCCCTCAGGGATGTAGTTCCTCTGCTTGGGGGTGTCATAGCTCCTTGCAAGTGTGCGTAGTGGGGCTGGGGAGTTGGGAGGGTGGGAGTGCCTGTAACACCTGTACCCTCACTGTTGGTCAAGGATGGACCTGGCCGGCATTTTGTCCATTTATATTTGACTCACCACCTTCCTGCTGCCCCACCTAGCACCTGGTTTGAACTGAGTGGATGAACATAGGCGATTAAGTCTTGAGGGGAAGCCAGACCTCTAATCCAGGTTACTTAGGAGGTTGAGGCAGGGGGCGTGCAAGTTCAGAGCCTTCCTGGGTTACAGAGTGGGTTCAAGGCCAGCTTTGGCAACTAAGTAGGACCGCATCTCAAAGAGTAAAGGGCTGGGGGTGATAGGGTACTCCCTAGATTACATCTCCAGCGGGGGGGGGGGGGGGGGACGACCCACAAATCTTCAGGGGAAAGACCCTGCCAAGAAACAAAGGTAAGCTAAGGTGGTTTCCCCCTCCGCAAGGCTTCCTCATTCCCTCCCAGGTCACAGCGCTGCCTTTTTAGGGCTCTGATTGGTTTTGGAAAGAGCATCTCAGCACTTCTCCGAGCCCCAGGCCCTGGGGGTGGGAGTGGTGTAGAGAGGAGGGGAGGGCCGCTCTTGATTGGCTCTTAACTCTCAGAGGCAGAGCCAGGGCTGAATCCCTGCCCGCCCTCTTCCCCGGTCTCAGCTCTGTACTGGCTTTCTCTGGGACTGCCAGGCTCTGCACTAGACCGGGACGGGACCACACCGTGAGTTCGCCCCGGACCGACCCCGGGAGTCCTCCACGTCCCTCCCCTCTTGCCTCTTCCTGGTGTCAATACTGGGAATCCAGATGTTTTGGTGTTTGCTGCCAGCCTCAGCACCAGGCAGAGAAGGGACACAAGGGTTGCTATTTGGGACAAGAAGGAACCTTAGGGTGCTCAGATGAAGAGGGTGGGCCCGAAAGGAGGGTCCTGGATGACCTCGGATGTCTCCCGAGACAGACGGGTGAACAGCAAGCTCAGCTAGCGCTGGGGTGGAGCTCAGAACGTGCCCAGCGTGCCGGAAACCCTGGGTTAAATCCCTGACGACTCCAACATAAGGGCAGTATGGCCTTTCCATCTTTCCCTGCCCTATCCATCCCCAATCCAGAATCAGAGGGTCATGCACACCCTGAGGCAGTGATGGTAGAACCTGAGGGCTCAGGAGGCTCGTGATCCTGAAACCCGGGTGGCATTCGAGTGACACTGGCATGCAGGGTCCGCCCATAGGGATTCTCTGGCCTAAGGGCCTTTCAGTAGAGTGATCCAAAGCTGGGGGAAGGGGGCGCGATGCCCACAAAGACCTCCAGGGGGCAGCATGACCCAAGAGTTGTGGCAGGTCCCGGTGGGTAGGCGTGGGCCGGCAGTTTCCCTGCTCTCTTCATGCGGATGCAGCACAGGACAGCTTTCCCTTCAGCCCCAAATCCTGTGTTTTGTGGTTTGCATGGGTCCTTGTGCGGTCCAGGCTGACACCCAACTTCTGAGGAGATTACACCTCAGACTTCTCCCTCAGCTTTCGCTCAGAACATCACACTTGCCAGGTATGGTGTCCCAGCACATGGATGGCCCAGGCAGGAAGACCAGGAGTTCAAAGCCAGCCTGGGCTACAATGAAACCCTGTCTCAAAACAAAGCATGAAAGACATAGAGCTGGGCGTGGTGGCGCACGCCTTTGATCCCAGCACTCCCGGAGGCAGAGGCGGGCAGATCTCTGTGAGTTAAAGGCCAGCCTGGTCTACATAGTGAGTTCCAGGACAGCTGGGGCTACAGGGAGACCCTGTCTCAAAAAGACCAAATAAAGAGAAAAAATAAAAGATAGCATAGAGGCTTCCCAGACCAGCAACATCTGGGGGTGCTGGAATGACTCCCAGTACTGTTTAGGGGTCTCTCTCCTCCTTTAGAGAAATCTCATTCCCCTCCACTTCTTATAAAAATATAAGCTGGGCACACACCTTTAATCCCAGCACTTGGGAGGCACAGGCAGGCAGATCTTTGTGTGTTTGAGGCCAGCCTGGTCTACATAGCCAGTTCCAGGCCAGCTGGGGCTACCCTGTCTTAAAAAGACAAAAAAAATTTATTCTTTTATTTTTGGTCTTTTTTGGGACAGGGTCTCCCTGTAGCCCCAGCTATCCTGGAACTCACTATGTAGACCAGGCTGGCCTTGAACTCAGAGATCTGCCTACCTCTGCCTCCCAAGTGCTGGGACTACAGGCGTGCACCACTACGCCCGGCTTTTTTAAGTTTTTTACTATTTTTATTTTATGTGTATGAATGTATTGCCTGCATTACATAAGTGCACTCATGTGCAGTGCCCGAGGAGGTCAGAAGAGGGTTTCAGATTCCCCTGGAACTGGAGTTAAGGATGGTTCGTAGTTGCCATGTGGGTGCTGGGAATCAAACCCCAGTCCTCTGCAAGAGCAGCCAGTGCTCTTAACCACTGAGCTATCTCTCTAGCCCCTCCGCTCTATTTCTTTATCTTCCTGACTGCTTAGCTTCCAAAATGGGCTCTCCAGGAGACATTTACTAGATAGTCAATCCCTTGTGTTTCTGCAAATGGGTGTGTGTGTATGTGTGTGTGCACACGTATTCAGTTGCATCAACCTGAAATCTAGTGAGTGAGAGCTCACGCCCTGAGGGAAGCCCACCTGCTTTCTTCCCATCTCATAAATCTAGTCCTGCTTTCTTTCTCTCCTCATACAAAGCATGGCTTTTGACCAGCCATGGTGAGGCACACCTTTAATCCCAAGCACTCGGCAGGCACACAGTCAAATCACTGTGAGCGTGAGGCCAGCCTGACCTACACCAAGAGTTCCAGGCCTGCCAGGGCTACATAGTCTCAAAAAACAAGCAAGCAACTGGGCATTGTGAGAACACAATTTGACTGGACTCCAAAAATAAAGTAGTCAGAGTCTGTAAAGATTCAGTGAAAGTGTGAAAAAGCAAGAGCATTACAAAACTTTGAGGAGAGGCTGCTGAGATGGCTCCGCCACCTGTCCCCATGCCTAACAACTTGAGCTCAGTCCCTGGAACTCATGTGGTAGAAGGACAGAACCAATTCCAGCAAGTTTTCCTCTGACCTGCACATGCATAGGATGCCTGGCTTGTTGTGTGGTGCTGAGGTCCAAACTCTGGTCCTTGTGATCACACAGCAAGTGCTCTTAACAGATACGCCATCTCACTAGCCCCTGCTTTGTTTTGTTGTTTTGAGGCATTGTCTCACTCTTTAGCCCAGGCTGTCCTAGAACTTGTGGAAATCCCTCTGCCTCAGTATCTCAAGTGCTGGGATTACAAGCATGTGCTATCACACCTGGCTTGAAGGTAGGTCTTTGGAAGGGACAGAAGTCTGGACAGTTCTGGCATCTAGGTAACAAGGGTCAGTACTTCTTCCTTGGAGCAAAGAAAGAAAATTCTGATTGGCTTAGTGGAGCTCACACCACTGAGGGAGGTGGGCTCCCCTCACTAATGGTACCCTAGGAATACCCAATGTTGGAGGTTAGTGACCGGCCTGCAAACATGAGATCTGTTCCCAAGAGAATGGGGAATGATGCCAAGCATTGTGGCTCATGCCTCTGATCCCAGCACTTGAGAGGCTGAGGCAGGAGGATTGTCTCAAGTTCAAGGCCAGCCTGGGCTACAGTGTGAGATCTTATCTTAAAAAATTTAAAAAAAAAAGAGGCTGGAGAGATGGCTCAGTGGTTAAGAACACTGGTTGTTCTTGCAGAAGACCTAGATTCGAATCCCAGCACCCACATGGCAGCTAACAACTGTCCGTAACTCCAGTTCCAGGGATTCAATGGCCTCTTCTGTCCTCCGAGGGGATTGCATGACATGGGTGCACTTACCTACATGCAGGCAATACACTCGTACACATAAATAAATAAAAAATAATAGAATACTAAAAACAGAAAAGTGACCGTCCCTCTCCCAGCAGCTAGAAATTCCAATAATCCCTCAGCTAAGGCTGGGGTTTTGTGCCTACCTCCCCTCTCCATGTTGGGATGAAAAAAAAACCCGAAAAGAATGAAGAATAGTAGATGCCAGGTGACAAACTCCAGGATGTCCATATGTTCAAGTCCTAATCACTGATAGTAGACCTGCCTCCCTGAGGGTCAATTAGATTAGTGTTGTGTGTGTCGGAGGGGGCGGGTACATGAATTGGCACAAGTATGGAGGTCAGAGGACAACTTGTAGGAGTTGTTTTGCTCCTTCCACCATGTGGGCTCCAGGGATTGAATTCAGGTCATCAGGCTTGGTGGTAAGTACCTTTAATCACTAAGCCATCTTACCTGCCCCTCTTTTATTTTTATAAGATGCTGGGTAGGTGGGGCTCACTCATGCTTCAACTCAAACATTGGAGGACACTTCCACTGAGGACCAAGTCTTCCATCCATCTTTTCTCCAAATGTCACATGGCTGGTGACTGTGGACAAGAGAAGGACCTTTCACAGTGCTTTAGGTGGACACACAATATCTGTATGTGGGGTTGGCATCCCTGAGCCCTGTGCAAGGCTTTGGTAGAGAAGAGGCTTCTGGAAAGTGGACTCTGACTAGAGAGCAGAGCAGAAAGGCACTTCCCGTAGGCAGAAGGCTGGTCATTAGGGAGCCACGCCATCTCCTCATCTGGCTCTTTTTCCCTCTGAACATCAACTGGCTCAAATGCAAG